AACTCAATTTGAGTAACTTTGTGCTTTTTCTGGTAGGGAAAAAAAAAGCGCTATGTTAAATGGAGAATCAGCTCTGGTTATTTTTTTGTGAAAGGTGTTTAAAGGTGACTCAAATGTGAGGTTTTAAACTGTGCTTGTCTGTTCGTGTTGAGAGCTGGTGGAATTGGTGGTTTCAGTGGGAGCACGCAGCAGGCATCGAAGGCGAGGGCTGCCTGTGGGCCCTGGGGCAGGATCCTGTGTGACTAATGCTGTGTAACTCAGAAAAACAAAGCAGGATTAGCTCTGCCTCCTTCCCCTCTGTAAGGAGTTAGAGGTGGGGAGCTCCAACAGACTGCTGCTGAGTTTCTTGGATAGGATCTGGGCAAACTGATGGATCGGCTCCCTCCACTCTGCAGCTTTATGGCATGTACTTTTTAGGTGGGGACTGTGCCTCTTGCTGGTTTTGGAAGTGAGGTGACTGGCTGAGATCTGAAGGCTTGTGCTGGCAGCCCCTCTCATACCCTGAGTTGCATCTGCTGCAACCCCTCCATCCACACCTGTGCCAGAGGATAAGCASAATTGGGGTGGAGGAGCTTCAAGCTTCCCAGCCTGCGGGGACCATGCAGGGCYGCGTTGTGCTCCTCCCTCTGCACTTCTGGTGCTGTTGAAGGTGGTCACATGTYAGGATGAACATCTGGCTTAGAGTTTGAGCCTGTGCTTCTACTTTTCCATCATTATTTTCCAGGGTTTTTCTGCAAGGAATTGGAAAATCCCCTCTGTGTGCTGCCGTGACAGCCTTAGAAATATCCAGATGGATTTGAACTTTGGTGCTGCWGAGGGCTTTGCGTATTTATTTTCAGCTTCCTGCTGTCTGCTTTGCTTAAGAGCTTTTGCTAGATCCTTTGCATATGCTTGTCCTTGCTCCTCTGCTYCTGGAAACCATTTGAGAACACCCTTCAGCTATGACAAAACACAACACCCTTCCCTACCCCCACCCCTCCCAAAAAAATATCCTCAAAGCTCATGGAGGAATTTTGTTTTACCACTTTCTTTGGTAAGCTGCAAAGCTTGCATAGCTGTGGTGTGTTGCTCTTTGGGTGCATCAGCCTTGTCTGGAGACCTCARAGAGCAAATCACCAGGCTGTTTTGGATGGGTCTTTAGAAAAAGGAGTGACTGCRCATGCTCAGCAGTGAATGGAGCTGTTAAATTGATTTTACTTGACTTACCCCTGTGCAAAGACAAAGTTATGATGGGTTGCAGCCTCATCTGTGTTTCCCAATGTATCACTCTGCCATCTTTCTGAGGTCATGTTTCTTATCAGCTAGCTAATTTYAGGCTGTTCTCCTGCCAGAAATCCTTCCCCTGTACTTTCTTATTTCTGAAATGGCTTCTAGTTGGATCAAGCAAATAATGGTTGCTACCTTGAGGGTAGAGATGTGTAGAAGGGGGAGGAGGGAAAATGCAGGACTGTCTGTTTTGGCAGCAGAAGGTAATTTTGGGTCAGTTAAGCTGCTGAGCATGTGAGAGTGGGCATGGCTTGCTGAAAGGCAGCAGTGCAGCCCCTGGTAGAACCCTGCTTGTGCTGCAGTTTCCTTCCATGTAAAGGAGTAGTAAGGATTGCCAAGTGTGTTAATATTTCTGGGAGGCTACATGTTGGTAGAGTTCTTTGAGGGACACTGCTGACTGCTGGCTTCATGTACACCCTGCAAGGGTTTGGCTACCCAGTTAACACAGGGAAGGCTTCCCTCTGGGAGGACTTTGAGCGCWGCTTTTAAATAAAACTTTCTGCTGAACATATCAAGGAAAATATTAGATTGAATACGAGGGAGAATTTTTCTGGGATGAGGGTGGTGAGGCTCTGGAACAGGTTGCCCCCAGAAGTTGTGGATGCCCCATCTTTGGAAACATTCCAGGACAGGTTGGATGGGGCTTTGAGCAACCTGGTCTAGTGGAAGGGCCAGGGGTTGGACTATATGATCTTTCAAAGGTCCCTTCCAAYCCAAATGACTCTGKTTTTTTGATTTCTCTGCTTAATTACACTGCAGATCAGGGCCTGATGTGTTAGTGCCTCTCTGCAAGGGACAGATTCTGCTATCCTGTTCTCCATAAGCCTGGGGGTAGGTCTATCTTCCTGACTTGGTATAAACCCTGACCCTCTCAGGCTGAAAAGACATTGTATTAGATGCTTGTTGCAAGTGTGTTATCACCTTGAGGATGACTTCTCAGGGCCTAGCGACTGTGGCAGCCCTCTTCTGGTGAAGTCTGAGGAGTTCATCACATGTACCTGAGTCCAATGGGGTTGTGCATCTTCCTCCTAAAAGCAATGCATTTGGCCTTGATGTTGGTTATGGGGAGGCCAYAGCTGTTTGTCTGAGCTGGAAATTGCTGATTTTGTAAGATTATCACAGGACAGGGGGAGAAAATTAGCATAAGCCTCTTAAAGAAAACTTAATTATTTTTCAGAGGTGTCAGGAAACACCTCATCTCCATATTTAGGCTTCAGAGTAGGGTCCCTTTTATGTATCTGCTTGTGACAGGGGCATTAGCAAAGCTGCACAATCAGGCTTRGGCTCTAGTAGGTCCTCCAAGGTCATGTGCCTGCTCTTTTGGCCAGTGCCACCCTCCTGCTTCTGGTGTGGGGTACTTCTGGCCATTCCTGCTATGCAGAACCATCCTATTTCTCTGCCCCATCATTTTTTTTTTTGTGTTCTTCGTTCCTGCTCTGGAGATGTTTCCTTCTCCCTTGAAGCCACCTGGTATCACTCAGTCTTCTGCTGCCTTGCTTCATAACCTGTTTATAAGCTCTGGTGAATCTTTGTTTGCTGCATTAGTTGAAGTAAAAGGTTATTGTGTTTGTGCAGTACTGCTTCAGTCTGCAACAAGCAATGAGTTATCTTGTCTCAGCCAAGGACAGAGAGGGTCTGCTGGGGTGGCACCACTGAGAAATGCATATTTTGATGGACAGGTTGGAGCAGCAGGAAGGGGTTTGGCTGTCATGAGTGTGTCATCCATGCTCCACATTGSCTGGAGCCTGGTTGTGTCTTGGGGAGGAGCGGTTCTGGGACAAGTGACTCGGCTGGGCACTGCAAGAAGGAAGTTTGGGAACCAAGAGGGAGGCTGGGCRGTCTGATTCCCTGGCACATTTGTTTGCTGTGAGACAAAATACTTCATCTGAGAGCTGCAGTTGCTTGGGGAAGGCAAGGCCAGGCCACCTTCATATGGTTTTGATTAAATCCAGCAGCACTTAAGGAAGCTTCAGGCATCTCTGTTTGCCTTGTGAGGCGAGGCGAGGATTTTGAACTTTGCCAGTGATGTTTTTGCAGCATTGTCTAAGAGTAGGAATCGCGTTGAGAAAATTGTTAAAGGAAAAAGGAACGGGAGGAGGAAGAAAGAAAAGGTGATCTGCATTGCAGCTGTGTTGATACTSCCCAGGTGCTGAGCCCTGGTGCAGGCATGGGACAGTACCAGGGCAGATCAAGTCCTACAGAGCTAATGCAGTCCCCCTTCAGATTAAAGCCATATGAAGTTAAGGTATGCATTTCTTTGCTTTCCATACCTTTATATATAAGCTGCTGCTGAAGATTATTGGCCAGGTTGGATTTGTCCTGTTGTTTCTGTCCTTGTAGAACTGCTGCACACTGTTCATTTACTGACTTCAAAAGAACAGAAGAAGACCCTCCCAGAGGTACATAACAGGAGTAAATAACTCTTGYGTTTTGGCCAATGTAGAGCAACAGTGTGATGGAAAATTTGTGATTGAGGCTGGAGTCCAAGGTCTGTGCTTTGGACTTGTGGCTTTCAGCATTGTTTTCATCTTTAGAAATGTCTTCAGCTCTCCCATAATGGGAAAGGAGAAAGGGGAAAATGAGTGGGGGAAACTATGAATGGATTACACTTTTTCTCAGTTCTTTAAATACCAGCTGGCAATGACTGAGGTCTCTGAATCACGTGCAGAGGCTGGGGAAAGCAAGCAAGTAGTTTTCTCTCAGTCCAAGGTAAACTGATATGCTTTATAYGTTTGCTCACAGTACGTAATGAGGTCCAGTTGGCAGGAAATACATGAGACATCATCAGGCTGATTCTGTACCTTCGTCTTGCTGGTTTGATGTTTTGACTAGAGAAGTTTTCTCACTCTGTTTCCTTACCTCCCTCAGCTTCCAGATCCTCTCTATGTTACAGTGTGTTTGAGAATGGTCCCTCATCCATGTTCCTTGCTRTCCCCAAACAATTACATGAACAGGACAGGAAAAGTAAAACTGCATTAGATGCGGTGACCTTTGCTTCAGTTGTGTCATCAGAAAAACATCTCCCTGTGGCTGCTTAGACTTGTTTCCAGTAAAACATTTCTGCTATCTTTTCTTTGGCATGCAGCAGGCACTTCAAATGCCCGAAGTGAGTTTTTGCAGCCCGCAGAGGTGTCACAGCTCTTGCTCAGTGCTGGTTAAATGTGTTTTGTGTGACTAAGGTACAAAAGATTTATATAGCAAGCAGTGGAAAAGATTAAGCCATTTGTATTATGAAACTGTAATAATGAATCAATAATAGTGATGATGACCAAAAAAATGGAAGCAGACTGGCTCTGACATCACATGGGATTTGCCTCCTCTGCAAACCAGAAGAAATTGCACAGGAGCAGATCTTCAGCAGCATCTCAGAGAGAGCAGAAGGGGTGTTGTGCTRGTGACCTCTTCCAACCCATTTACCAGCTTCTTTTCTGCCCCTGCTCTTAGATGTGGTCTTCAGKGCATTGGCTGTTGAGGGGGCTTTACTGGATGAACAGCCTTGGTTTGGGACTCATCATCTTGCCTTTTACTTTGGCTTCCATCTGTGATTTTGGAGAAGTCTGCTGACAGCCTCATGCCATATAACTCTGCTGTGGTGCCGGGGCTAGACAGRAGTGTGTTCAGGGCAGGGATTTAACACCCCGATTCTCGCGAGATTGTTTTGTTCTGACATCCTTCCCTCTCATCAGCCAGCTTTTATTTATGTCACTAATTACTGTTCTCTCCAATGCTTACAGGATTTGCCCGTTCCTGTATGCYGATGGGAATTGTGTTCTGGCTCCTTGTCAGTGCTGTAGGAGAAGCTGATGCCCCAAACAGGTATGTTTGTCATGSTCCTGTTGAGGGGAAGAAGGGCTGTATGTGGCCAAGGGTGAAATGTGTGCAGGGTTTGCCTGATGGGTATGGAATAGATCCTGTGGTGCAGGAGTGATATCTGTTCTGCAGTGAGTAGGTATGTTTTCCATCCAAAGGTTTTGTGAAAACGTCCAGGCAGAAGATAAGTTTGCATTTAGCCTTGCTGACAGCCCTCTGAGGAGAGGGCTGGAAAACAGCATTGCTGCAGAGCAGCTCCTGGGAGGCCTTGCTCCTTGCTAGCACGGGCACTGCCTTTTCCTTCCCAGAGCACCAGCTGGGGAATCCCAGCCGAGCTTGCGGCTGCGCAGGCGGCTGCTGCGTCCTCCTGCTCAGCTGGCCTTTGGCAGCTCCCCGTAGCGTTCATCCGCCTGCGTCCTGAGCGGGGTGGGGGGAGCTGTGTGCATGTTGGTATCCAACCATGAACAAATCTGCTGTTGTTTTCTCAATGTATGGCAAGAACAGCCTGTAGCAGCTTATTCCTCCCTGGATGATTACTGCTCTGCTGTGCCACTGATTGCTCTCTGGAGCAGTGGAGTAGTGCATCGCCTGCGCTGCCCTGTGCATCCTTTTGCCTGAGTTATTTGGTTTGTTGTTGCTTTAAGGCATCAGTGCTCAAATGAAAAATCTAATACGTGCTCTTTGCAACTGTTTGACATTCCAAGTGCATTGCCTGACTTAGCTGAAGTCCCTGCAATGCCAAACAAGCTTTTGGTGATGCCCCTTGCTGTGCTATCAGCAGGTCTGCTTGCACCTTGAKTTCAATTTCTGCATTACATTGAGGAGGGGAAAATAACAGGGCCAGGTTGCAGTTTACTATTATATTATCTGGAATTGTGTTCCCAGCTGATCAGAGGTGTGTGTGCAACCACTGGAATTGGAGTGGAATATTTTGCCATCTGTTGTTGCTCTGGGGCGGTCTGAAAAGCGGGTGGATGATCCTTCTGTGGGAGTGTTARTGGACAAAGAGGGATTGGCCTGGCATGCTGAACTTGAACCTTCAGCTTGCCCTAGGAGCTTAGAGAGCAAAAGCTCCTTCTGCAAATTGTCCATCCTTGATGGATCTCATCAAARTAGCATTGCCTTGCATTTGGCTTGCCTGAATGGCCTATTTGATTGTATAAGGATATAATCATAACTTGCTGCATAAAGCTTTCTTGGTCCCTAAAAAAGTGAAATGGATTTATTATGGAAAGAAATCTTTCTTGAAAACCTGGTTCATCCGGGACTATCTGGGTGGTGCCGCAGATGTGCTGGAGGTGTAGGAGTCAGGGTGGAGCTGTTTCTACCTAATTCTCCTGTATTTCCCAGCATTTATCACATCCTGCAAGCAGACGTGCCCTCCACTTTGGAGCTGAAAGCAGAGCTGGTTAGTAGAGCACTGCCTGTGCTTTCCTTTTCTTCAATTAATTTTCTAGTGTAAAAGGCCTCTTCTTAAAGGGAGAACCACAATAAGAAGGGGAACAGCAAAGGTAGGAGTGCCTCCATTTGTGAACAAGCTGTTGCAGGTCTGTCTGAGTCGGGGGAGCCAGCACTGAGTCAGTGTTCCAGACTTCTGGTGACTCAGGTGGCAATATCCCAGGTTATTCTCTTCTCATGCCTGAATTGCAGCAAATTTCCCGTAACAAACTTTGGCCTTCTGCTGTGACCATGCATGACAGTGCTGTGCCATCCTCTCCCTCCCGTATGGGTTATGACCAGCTTGGTTTGCTGGGCATGCAGGCAAATGGTGRTGGTGGCACTTCTCTTCCTGCCACCACAGGTAGAAAGTTGATTTATCTCAGCACCCTCAACCCTACCTCTCTCCTTTCCCTCCTCTGCCCCYGCCTTGTTTTTTGTTAAGATGGGATAAGGAGTTGCAGCTGTCTATTGAGCTTGATGAGATTGTTATGCAAATCTGGAGGCTGTGTTCTCCTGGCAGATCTGCCTGTATGTGTTACCCACTACTTCATTGTACTGGAAGGAGATCTATTTTCTGAGGCAAGGTTTATTTTTAGTCAAGACTTCCCCTGTCTAACTGGCAAAAGTTCAGCATTTGCAGTGGGATTTGCAGAAGAAGCAATTTTGCCAAATCTTCAGACTGGGGGAAGAGAGAGGAAATGTTATATTAGCTAGCAGAAATGCTAAATCCTGACATGAAAAATAAGTTAGGACACTGTTGCGAGAGCGTAAGGGTTGGGTAATGCAAGTTGAGAACAGCATTGTGTGTGTGTGCTGCAGTGGATAACTCAGCCTGCATTACTCTTACTTTTCCTTGCGATGGCTGCCACAGAGGTTAACCAACAGTGGGTGGGAAGTGCCACTCAGGGGCAGGTGGYTGATGTCACCAACCTTTTGGCCTGACCCAGAACAGTGAATTAGCAAAGTCACCTTAACCACAGCATCCATGGGGAAAATTCTGTCYCTGCAATGCATTGCACTGTCCTGTTGCACTTGCATTTGGGGTCACTGGAGGCTCACCAAAGGTTAAGCTTTTTGATGATATAGGATGTATCATGCCCATGTCAGATATCCCTACCCTTGTCAGATATCCTGAAATTAATAGAGTGGCACATGGGATGTCCTGGGGCAGTGCTACAGCTGTCTCGTCCTCTCTTCCCCAGCTGCTGCTCCAGGGACAAACCATGTCTTCGCATGCCTCATTGCTTTCACCAGCTGCTTCTAACCATTCTAGGTCTTGCACTGGTTTCTCACATAAGCAGCAACCTTTCTGGGATGCAGGGATGTTTTCTTCATGGTCTTGCATCTTGAATGTTTTCACATTCCTTTTATAGAGTCATCTTTGTTACCATTAGCTGATAGTGCTGCAAGCACCAGACGTCTAAGGATGACACCAGAGAGTGGATGACTGTGTTCAAAGCCTTGGTACTTAATCCTATTAAAAAATGACAATTGATTCCACATGTGGGCATGTAAATGATTTGTTTTCTGCTGCAGGTTAACTCCTGCCATTTGCTTTCTCATTTCCCCCCCCNCCCCCCCCCCCGTAGCAGACAATTGCACAGCAGCTCTGTCATGGTTCCATTACGAAAACAAGGAGAAATCCTTCAGTTCCAATTTTCTTCTGAATGTTTGGAATCCAGAAAAAGAGAGGAAGTAACACTAGGAATTTAGGTATATTCTACATTTGGTCCAAGTGGGTATATGATACCTGCAGGTAACGGACGTGTACTTTGGTGAAAGAGCTGGAGGYGAAACAAAATTTTAAATGCTGTTTCAGTCATTGGGGTACAAGCATCATGAGAMTCAAGGTAGGAGCACTCATCAACTGCCTAGAACAGTAACCTTCCTGAAGGAATTAATCTAATTTAACCCGATAAAAGAATTTAGGCAGTGGAGGAAGTCTCCACCATTTCCTGCCAAGCTTCCTGAAAAGACTAGGAAAAAATAAGTGCCAAAATGACACTCTTCTCTCCATGGGGGAGGGGGCTTATGTTTTCCTAAGACCTGTTATTATATTTCTGTTAAAAATAATGGGTATTAGCTGAAAAATAATCTGTATTAGCTGGTAAATCAGGATTGTTTTATCTATTTAATTTTCCATAGTTCCCTGGGGACTTCCTGTTTTTTTGCAAATACACTATCCATGTGGGATGCAGATGATCTTCTGTACCCCGGTGTTGATGCAGCAGTTGGCCCCATGCATCTGATGGTCTGTGGATGTAGAGACTTCATAAGTTCGAAGCTTTTCCTTGGGGAAAGTTTGTGGGTGGTTGGGTTTTGTGTTTTTTCCTTACATTGCTAATAATTTCAGGGGAACTCCTATCTTATTAGTGCTTTCTCTCCAAAAGCATTTCTCTTCCTCTCTGTCTCTTGCCGTCTGAGGCTGGCAGAACGCTGATATGTTAGGAAAGCCTGTCTCTGCTTTAAATGGCCTTAAGCATGTCAATATTCAGCTCAATTTCCTCTTACAGCGGCTTGCTACAAAATGAGCAGGAATCTCGGGGCATCCCTGGGTCAGCTTTTCTTCTGACCCTCAGGTTAAGGCAAGGAGCATTTTGTTCCAGRCGGGTGAGTGCATGGAGGAGGAGAGTCCATCTCAAGTTTTGAGTACTCTGAGAAAATATTTTTTCTATCAGGGAATTTTTGCTGATATCATTGAACTATGCTTAAAGTATGTGGGCATATGTTGTAATCTGCTGGCAAGGATACTGTGAAAATTGCTGTCCTGGCTTGGCCCAAAGGTGCATATAAACTGGAGGCTGAGCAGTCTAATTTGACATTCCATCTGCTCTAGCTTGATCCTGTGCCTTGCAAATGTGCTGCGTTTTGAGCAGGCTCAGAGCTGCACTTGGCTGGCAGCCTCCAGCCCCAGGTACTGGGGCAGGTGAGGAGCTGCCATATCTGTGGCTGAATGCTGGAATCCACATCTGCATGGGAGGGTGCAGCAGTGGAAATTCTGGCAGTCTCTGGGCTACCTGCAAYAAAGAACAGAGCTGACTTCAGATTGCTGTTTTGAAAACCTTTGTTTAGTGAAGGTGAGTAGTTCTGTGAGCATTCAGTAGCTTGTGCTCACCCAGACCTCTCAGCACAACTGTGCCCTGCCATGTCCTTAGCTCGGTTTCACAGGCAGAGACCTCATGCAGTGCTTATGGAAGGTCAGTGTTTGGTCACTGCCTGAATTGCTGCTTATCCCCAGAGGTGCTTCTGCTATGCTTTGCTCTGTAATTRCTTGCCATACATTGTGTCTTCCCCAGCAGCTTTCACTGCACTTTGKAAAAGGGAAGATAAGGAACCGTGGACAGATGGACATCTGGGAGGACTGCAGGTAGTGGGAAGGGGGAATGGTTTTAGCCCTGGTACTTGCATGCAGCATACTCTCCAGGCGGATCCCACTGTGATTCTTGATTAAGTTTCCCTTTTTTTGGCTGGCATATTGGAAAACCCTTTTCACTCCAAGTTTTGTTTGGAAAGAGAGACGCCCACACAGATGGTTGCTCTTCAGTTGTCATTCATGTTGGGATTTT